TGGTTAAGAAACGTGTATCAGAATGCTGAAATTCGTACCTTGTCTAATGGTCCATTGCGGCTACTGATATTAATCACCGTGTTTGTCGAACGATGATATCTTTATTAATATTGGACGCAGAAACGCACAGATTGCATTTGGATTCCTGTAGGTATGTTATTTTTTCGTGATGCATAAGTTCAAATATCGAAGCAATATAATCCTAGGACTTGCACAATTGAACCATTCATGGTAATATGTCAGAGATATCAGTAGTTGTAGGTATAGTAATAATGAAACACGAAAGAAATTTATTTTTTTAATTAAGACTAAAATCTGAATGAAACCGCGCAACTAGGTCATTTAGACCAATCTACGGTGATGAGCAACGTGCATGATGCCTGCTATAATGCAAAGATTTTAGTTTTCTCTTTTTATTCTATCTGCCTCTATGGGTTGGAAGCTTTTTAACAAATTTACCAGACTTAGAGAAAATATTTATTCCCCTTGATCAACGCTTGTTGCCCACAAAACTTTGTCAAACTCTCGAGCCCGCCTGCTCAAGACTCTTGAGCTGTAGGCGTTTAAGTTTCGCTCTGACACAGCATAAAACGCCTTCATTTTGATGTGATACAATTAGACTGACAACAGTCAATAAATAAAAAAAAGTTACATTCGAAACATCCGCTTCCGCTACTCACTCCCACGACAAGGATGTTTCACAATTAAGTATGAAAAAACCCGTTTTCCAAGTAAAGCAGTTTGAGTTCGAGCTGCGTTTTGCAGATATAAAAAATATTTGAAGGAAATACTCCTTTGATATACAACTCAGATGCAAAGTTTTATACTCGCACAGTTGGATCACTTCTTTGAAGAGCTGCATACCGATTTAGGAGGGAGGAAGAGAAAGCTGTAAGATTTCTAAAAATTAATCAAAATTTAGTGTATTTAGAGCCATTGTAGCATCCTTCAAAATAAATGGACCAGCTAATGGTGAAAAGAACTAGGGAGATTTTGTGTCGTGAAAAAGAAATTGCAAAATTCAAATACAGTTTCTGTTGTTACATCAAATCAAAGTCAATCAAAAAAAGAAATTACCCTACAGATTTACTTTTCTAACGCTCTTGACTTCTTTTCACCCCACCTTCAATATGATTTTTTATTTATTTATTTTTAAATAGGTGACTGGAAATCTGTTCTTTGTCATCCATGCCTAAAAGATTCTCTGCTAATGTGGGTTGAGCCACAGTTGGAAGATTTAGTATTTTTAAGGAAAATAACCGAGGCTACGGAATGCACCAGGATTGTGAGCGTGGGTGCAGGCTGCGGTCTCTTGGAATGGCTCTTGAAAGCCGCCGTAGGTATTGTTAATGTACTTTGATTTTAAGTTGTTTTTCTTTTTTCTCTTTTTATGGGAAGATTTTTACTCATTTTGATTGCTATACGTAGTAGCGTCATCATATAACCGTGAGTGGAAAGAAGGACCCCTAGTGCTCAAGAGACTTTTCAAAAGAATGATTTGTGCTTTGGTAATCACGGCGAGGTTCATTTGCCTTCGAAACAGATTTAGCCCTGTCAAAAAATATTCAAAAGAACGAACGAGTGCAAGCAACATTCATACCAGTCTCGATTAAATTCAGTTCCAGTGCTCATGAAGATTATGGTCTTAGCGAGTGAGCGAGGCATTTCACGATGATGCCACTATTCGACCACTTGGGAACTCGTATTGCCTACAGTAAAAATTGAAGGCGAACTCACAGCTAGTAAAAGCTCTTCTTTGGGTACGTCTCGAGTGCGAGTGCCGTTTCACGATGATACCACTATTCGGCCAGGTGGGGACTCGTGTTGCCTACTGTAAAAATTGAAGGCAAACTGACATTAACCTCTTCCCGTTTGGTAAAAATATTTTATTTTTGCACGTCCCGAGAGGCAGTACCATTTCACGATTATACCGACCATTCGATCACGTGTGTAGCTTGTGCATGTTACCCACGCTAAAATTGAAGGCGAACTAACATGGTGTTAATGTGATTCCTTCATGTTTTACAAAAAGCTATTATTTTGTACAGGGTGGCCCGAAAGTCTTAGGACGCCCCTTTACTTTTCCGACGAATTGAGTCGGAGACTTGGATTTTCGTAGTGCTCCTGCACCAAAATAAAGTACCTTGTCTGGCACACCCAAAATTTTTGAGGGCGTTCATCATTGCACAGATCTGAAATATGATGGTTCAGGCCATTCAAGACGACCTTAAGACCTTGTGAAGACAAGAAATAAGATACCCTCTATGTCGTGGACGGTTACCAGTGGCGAGGCATGAATAATCGAGTATCGATATTTTCCCATTTGAGGCTGTGATAAAAAATCGATTATGAAGGTGTTTGTTGCAAACACCTTGTTTATTGATCATTTTCCATATAGGTTTATAGGGCAGATCAATCGATATTTCGCGAAGTAAGCCATGTCATTTGAAATTTAAGAGAGTCGCTAATTGATTTATTGCTTGCTGTTTTAAAAATCCCCGCTTTTTCTCTATTCCATGGAACAGGAGTGGAGGTGATCGGCCTGGAAATAGATTCAAAATGGTGGAGATCGCCTTATTCACCGCCAAGTTTCATTCCTCTGGTGTTTCCCGAAGATGAGCGATTCTTTGACTTGGCCGAGAATGAAAACTCAGCACTGATGTTCTGTTACTTTAACAACGGACCTGCATTTAATGAGTACCTGAATAGATACAAAGGAAACTGTGTTATTATCATCGGCTCTGAGCGACACGGTGTCCACACAGACCCGAAACCGTTCGACTTACAGAATTCCAGCTCAGGTTGGAGCTTGTACTCCTCAAAGAAAATCAGCTTGTCGAATGATATAATGGTTGTGTACACTCGAAATAAATGTTCCTTACAATGAACAGTTGTTGGTATATATATTTCTCCCCATCGATAAATAATGTAAAACTGGAAACACGTATCTCGAACGCGATGTCTTAACATTTTCTCTGTTGTTCCGATTTTTTTGTCACTTTTTCAAAGAACAAATCGACTCCTCGGAATTTAGGTACACTAAATTCTCTTTATACGAGGAAGAGAAACCGGTAGAAAGCCCCTGAAAATCCTGATCCTCACTTTCCCTTCGCATGAAAAATTTGTAAACTGGAAATGACCTGCAGCACCGCTATTGAGATACGTGTTTTACGACTTGTGCCAGCAATTTATTATCGACCCACTATACATCCGATTTTACACATTTTACCGATGGAACTGCAAAAACACTTGTCTCGATAGCGTCATTTTGAAATTTCTGCCCTATCTACCTTTGTTCATTTCTTTTTTTATCAACTAGGGTCGGGTTACAACAAATTTTTTTCAAACATTTTTCAAAAAATAGTATTCTTGGAAACGCATAGAAAGAAATATTGCTGAGACATGAGTTTGTGTAAATTTCTGAAATTTCATGAAGTATTTTACATGAAATTTAAGCTTTTATTAAGCTTTTTTTAGGAAAACTATACTCAACGGCAATTCATTAAAACTGCCGTGATTTTTCTTCTCTGTGCGAAGAAAATTCTGCATAAACTTCAAGGAATAATGTCAATTTATACTTCTTTAAAAAAATAACATTGAAGCGGAGATTTTCAGATACCGCAATTACCGCAAACCAGATATCGTCGGTGAAACTACCAAACCACGTATCTCGGTTTGCGACGTCGCAGACTTCCTGTCATACTTTATTTTTTAAATGAGAAACTACTT